TGAACAGCAAGGCCTTAGGCAGGATTCAGGGAGGGATTTAAGGAGATTTGATTTATATTTTAATTAGTACTTTTGTTAGGCAATAATCAAGGGCTAATAGCCTATAAGTGTATCAGTCGACAGAGGAAATAAACAAGCAATATTCAACAATTTTCTCTCTCTCTCTCCCCCTCTTTCTCCCTCTTATCCTAGATCTCTTCTGTCTTCTACCCTCTATTTTGCTAACTCCAGCTCCTACATAGAAATTCTCCTAACAATTTGGTGCTTTCGTTGCTTGATGAACCTCACCATGGCACCACAGACTTGCTCACAAAACACTGAGGATGATATTTTTGAGAGATTACTAGTACAACTTAACATGGCCATGGAAAACCGTGACTAGCTATCCCAGCAGCGCGAGCAAGAAAGGGAACAACGCTTCTTGGCTACAATGATTGAGCAAATACGAGCTAATTCCTCCATTCCACCACATCAACCTTCATCGAGTGTTCTTGGCCCTGGGCCACAACAACCACTGCGCACAACAGAAGCTCAACCGGAGACACATGCGAATCGCAACCTTCGTTTGACATTCCCTCTGTTTTCATCTGGTGACCCTACTGATTGGCTTTTTAGCATTCAACAGTACTTCATGTACTACTCAACTCCCTTGGAAGACAGGTTACTCCTGGCCTCCATGCACCTAGATACACCGGCGTCTTGTTGGTTCCAAAGCATGGCTCAAGTGGGCCGTCTTACAGATTGGAACACTTTTGTTTCAGGTCTGCATAAGCGATTTGGTCCATCAGAATACACCGACCCAGCTGGCCAACTAATGAAGCTTTCACAATCGGCTTCAGTGGCAGAATACCAAAACAAGTTCGAGGCGTTGGCTAGTAAAGTGACTGGCCTTACACCTGATCTCTTAAAAAGTTCATTCATTTCAGGACTCCAGCCGAGAATTCAACGCGCAGTATCAGCACAGCGACCTCGTGACCTTGATGATGCATTTGCTTTAGCTCGGGTTTTCGAAGATCAGTTCGCTGATACCAGATCAGCACCAAGACCTTGGGTTACTCGACCAACCCCACAACCACAGCCTATAGCTCCGACCAGTCCTAACCTAGCAACTAAACTCCCCGTCCGTAGATTAACAGCGGCAGAGCAGCAAGATCGAAGAGCAAAAGGGTTATGTTTTAACTGTGACGATCGTTTCACCTCAGGCCACCGTTGCAAAGGACGTGCTTCGCTCCTTTACTTAGAAGGAATGGAAGACAATTCCATAGACAACTTGGAGACACCAACGGTCGATACGACACCGCAATCAGAGTAAGAGCCCACTCCAGAACTTAGCCTTAATGCCTTTTTGGGCCAACGCTCGGCCAAATCAATGAGTATGCAAGGAAGCATAAATGGCCATAAGATTCAGGTGCTTATCGACAGTGGTAGTACAAACAATTTCATTTCTAACCACATGTCATCTTTTTTGGAATTACCCATAGCACCCACCCAACCATTCAAGGTACGTATCGGCAGCGGTGCTTACCTCTACTGTCATCAAATCTGCAATGAGGTGTCGTTGTTTCTGCAATCTCACACCTTCCACCTGGACTTATTCGTACTCGACATTGAAGGCACAGATGTTGTTTTAGGCATTCAATGGTTGGCTACATTGGGTCCGATCTTGACAAACTATGCAACCCTGACAATGGAATTCAGCCTACAAGGACAGCATATCCAACTACATGGCGACGACTCTACCTCAGTTCGTTCACTCTCTCCAGCAAGATTTAACAAAATGATCACATTAGAGGGTGTAAGCTCATGTTTCATGTGCCTGCAGACCCACACCGACCAGTGAGGACACAGTGTCCTTAGCCAAGAGCGATGAGCAACCACCACCATTTCTGGCAACACTTATGGATGAATTTCAAGACGTATTTGCTGAACCAACCGAGCTACCTCCAGCCCGCTCTATAGACCACTGCATTCCCTTACATCCAGGCACCGAAGCGGTGAATGTTCGACCATACCGTTATCCTCATTTTTAGAAAAATGAAATAGAAAGGCAGGTAAGTGAGCTGCTCCAAACAGGTGTCATTCGTCCAAGTCGCTCAGCTTTTAGTTCACCGGTGCTATTGGTGAAAAAGAAGGATGACACATGGCGTTTTTGCGTAGACTATCGTGCCTTGAATGCAGCCACCATTAAAGACAGATTTCTCATTCCTACGGTGGATGAACTAATTGACGAGCTCTATGGTGCAACAATTTTCTCCAAGCTTGACCTTCGTTCGGGCTACCATCAAGTGCGAATGTTCGAAAAAGATGTGCACAAGACAACCTTTCGCACACATCACGGCCACTTTGAATTTTTAGTCATGCCATTCGGACTTACAAGCACCATCGACCTTCCAAGCCCTAATGAATGAGGTATTCCAACCATACCAACGAAAATTTGTGGTCATATTTTTTATGACATCTTGGTTTATAGCAGCAGCCATGAGGAACACGTTGGCCACCTTCGACAAATATTTTCAACACCGATAGATCACAACTTGGCGGTGAAAAGATCCAAATGCACATTTGGAAGCCCCTCCATTGAATTTCTGGGCCATATCGTCTCCACACAAGGGGTGGCAGCCGAT